ACCCTTGTTGCATAGATACGCCCCTATATGGCTTCTTTCAACAGGATCATGTTTCTTGCTACACAGCAGAAATTATTCAGGAAGGGCTTGAGGTATCTGACAAAGAGTTTAAGGTGTTGACATGGCCTTCGAATTCCCTAGAGCCTAATCTGATGGAACATCTGAGGGATGGGCTGGAAAAACAAGTCCGATCCATGGAGGCTCCAGCGCCATGTTCAGCTATCTAAATGATCTGCTGCCTGATACACAAGACAGAGGACAGAGGTCTTTGGAATCCAGGCCTCGACAGGCAAAGCTGTTTAAGGGCACTAGGAGGACTTAAACAATATTAGGCCGGTGGCTGGAATGTTATCGCTGATCAGTGTGCAACAGCAAGTCTGTATTTATTGAAATGTAGTCTGGCTGACTGGGTGTAGGCAGACATTGGTGATGCGTTTGACAAAGCTTTCTCCTCCTCTTCCGCGAGCTACATGCTATCGGTTCAAGGTCTTTTATTGGTCACAAACACAGTTATAACGCGCAGTGAAATGTGTTGTGTACCTGTTGTTTTCAAAATTCCCTTCTCCATTGTCAACAACAACAACAACCTCTATGCAGCATCTTGCCAGACTAAGAACTTCTGCTGTGGTTTTGAATCGAGCAGTAACGCAGCCCTGCTGTTTGTTTGTTTTTTGTTGAATATTCCATTTTAACCACAGTGCTCGCCTCCCTGCATACAAATGCTCCACCAAACTGTCACTAGTTTGAGTGAACACCATTGTTGCGTCCTGTTCTTAGCCATGCACAAGACAATTGTGATATATTTAAATAACTACAAACTCCTCAGAGCATTGTTTTCCCCTCTATAGCAGAATGACAGTGAGGAGCAGGCAGACCATTCTACACCGTGTCAGTGCTACAGAATGCTCTGACTGGAAGACTGTTTGAAATGTAAAGTTTAATGACATTTTTAATTATCATAATGAGAAAACATTTATAATACCCATATTTACCAACAGAGCATTTTATGAAACAGTCACACAGCGACAATTAATTTTCTTTCAGTGTGATTTCATCCTAAATCTGATTACCAGTTCTTATAATTCTGTGTTCGATCGAGCGCAATGTGTTTTCCTCTGATTAGTCCATTTTAGTCCCTTGACTACTAAGAGAAGGTAAACTGTTTATAAAGTGTTTCATAATTGCATTCGCAAATTGTTTGAAACAAATGGCAGAAAATTGGAATTTCAGCTTCAAAGCGCTCACAATCCACCCACACATTATTTATGAGCATCGACTAATGAGCAGAGAGTTTGTTTAACAGCCTTAAGTTCTGCTATCCAACCAGAATATCTAAAAAAAAAAGGAGAGCCAGTGAAAAGGTGGAAGAAGCTGTGCAGCGGCTCGGTTTGTGTGACAATGCGACAAAGCTGAGGTGAGGAGGGTTAAAGGAGACATTGATGTATTGACCAGCAGCTCCTCATCTGGCACATTTACAAGGTCACACGGATGGATAGCAACAACTTTCAGGCAACTATAGCCGTGGACGGATCAAGAAAGGTGGAGGACTCATCTGCAGACAGGGTAGATGCCAAGGAAATGTCAGGGGATGGTGCAAAGCTGAAGTTAGCAAGTTTTGGTTTCAAATTGAAAAGCATAAAAAAGCAAAAACATACATCTCACTCTATTTTTTAACATATTTTTTGAGGGCAGTTTGGTTTAACCTTAACAGCTTTGTCAGATAATTCTTCATGAATTCAGTTACACGCATCAGAAGCTGCTTTTATGCACAATGTGTGTCTTGTTTTTGACGTCCGCGTGATAAACAGTCAGTGCAATCATGCAACGTTGAACAATGAAAACCTACTGCCAATAAATCGAGGATTGGTGCGTCAACCCTCAAGGGCGATGAATAAATTAAAGCTGAAACCTCATTAATAAAACACCTCATTCCGTTAATTCAGACGAGATGAGGCCGTTCACCTCCGTGTGCTCTACACGAGTAAGCCTCGATCAAACCGCACGGCACACAGGAGAAACATGAACCGTCGTCTGCATCCGCTCTCGCGATCGCCTCAAAGTCAATAAAGGGATGCGTGAAATTACCTGAAGCTCCATCAGCATGTCTCGGCGTAGGGCGACGGCTTTAACCGCATCGCCCGTCCCAGTGCAAATAAAGTCTGAAATAACAACACGCTAAGCTGTCGGTGTTAAAGTTAATCAGAATTTAATGAACTAACTGTCATCTCTGGTTGCTAAGAGGATTGGGGATTATTGAGGAGAGAACAGAACAGATGTAAATAATCTCCGCGGTACGTTGACAGTTGGGGTTTATTAACACGAAGGCCGGTGGGTGTGATGTATCATTGTCACTTTGTGTATTCGGATTAATTCTGCAACACCGCAGCAGGGATGTGTCTAAGTGGTTTTTACATGGAGCAGTGCAGCGTCGGTACAATCCCTGTGGTGATTTGGATATGAAGTTAGTGGAATGATTAGACATTTTGGGGAAATGCGCTGGTCCACTTAGTCTCACGTCTGTCTGGTACAGCGGCAACGGGTCTTGCAAGAAATAAAGAAACAGCCTGATGTATGATCTGTTGTTTTTCTACTGTGTTTTGTGCAAATTAAATGTGGAGTCTGCGGTTTTAGAGGAATATATTTAGTTAACTGTACTTGACCTCATGTCTGAATGATCACTAAGGTCTCACCAGGGACACTTTGGTATCACTTTCAACTCAGCACAAGTCCGAACTACATGCCGTAAAAGAGGCCAAACCAGCGATGTATTTTGAAGGAGTCTTTCCTTTGAGTTTAGTACACGCAGCATCAAACAGCAGCAGGAGTCACATGACCAGCAGAGGGTTAGTGAGGATTAAGGGGTGTATAGATAATGAATGGATGGATCAATTATCCCTGACGTGGAGACAGAATTGATCGGTATTTGATGTCAAGTCACACAGTTTGCTTTTCTTCACTTTAGACAGAGAAGCTGTCACACAGAGTTTATTAACACTGAGTTAACAAGGACCGATAGCACCATCAGTTGAAGTTAGTTAAACCATTTGATTCCTCTCAATTTGCAACTTGATTTTAAGGAAAGTCGACATGTATTTTTCTATTTTTTTTCCAACTTCAAGTATTTGATTTACCAAAAAGTAAACTCTGTCATTTGATTTGCTGAAAAACTGAAGAAACATGGATATTATATGATCAGACACGCCAGTGCTGAGGAATAGCAAACCTAATTTTCACACTTTTCCCTTGACTAGAACACCAGTTTCAAGGTTAAAGTGTAATTTCACGTTGGTAGAATCTGCTAAAGTGAACCACCACCACCAAAACAGAACATGAAATTAGTTTGAAACAGTACCAGTAGAACTAAAGTGCATGTCACAGGAAGAGGCATCTTCATCACATAGGTTGATGAGCTCTTTACCGTCGTAGCTCGCGGGCACATAGAAGTCATCGGGGAACCCAGCGGTAGAAATCCAGCTCACATTTACCATTATGAAAGCTTCTGCTTCATTAAATGTCAGACTTCACTCGTCAGATGTTCAAATGTGGCACCGAGCTGCAGGGTGAGGCTGAACTTTTCACACGGTTTTTATCTACCAACATATATTTGATATATCTTCACGACACTGGACGCCGAATGTCACAGAGAAACCTCTAAATCATCAGAATGTCATGATAGTTGCTTTGTTTTTCAGTTGGGTCGTGGGTGTTTTAGTGAGTTCATGATTTTATTTATTTTTTCCCCCCGGTGGGATCCAGCTTCACCCTCAGAGGACAACAAATGCTAAACATCATGTAATCCTTTGCTGACAAGAGCTCTAAACAGTCAAGCCATTTTAGCCATCTGCGGTCCATTCTCTCGTCTCCGTGCTAATGGATCCGTGTGCTTTCTTCTGTTATCCACAAACACTCCACTACGTCGCGTTCTCTTTGAAATGCCTCTCTTCTTCGCTCAATTTTCCATCATTCTGACCGAGGGGATATTTGTGGGGAAACCTGAAAAAAGGGGACCGTCCTTGAAATGCTATGATCAATGGAAAAGAGCTGCAACAGGCTGAGAAGCAGGTTTACTTGATGGTGGTCTTTTTTTTTGTGGTGCAACACGGTGAAAAGTGCGTCTGACCTCTCATTGCTTCTGTGAGTCTTTTAGTGATTCGCAGAAATATCTCCTACTTTCTTCCCTTTTGTTTTGGAGGCTGTGTCTGGGATACAAATGCAATGAATATATTATGAAAAACACAAGAATTCAATCTAATTTGAATTGGTTTTACACGGAAATGTGCACACGATCCCCAGCAAACGGTCTGAGGTAAGTCATTTCTTCGCGGTATCTTTTTAAAACCTCGAGGACCACGGCTTTGTTTGTGGGCAGCTCATTAAACCGAGCCATTAGAACTGATTAAACAAGAAGTCTGCTTTCACAAAATGGGCTGGTAGCTGACGCAGGGGACTTGAATTATTCACGAAATATTCCACAATCTGCTTGGATCGCAACTGACAATGAGCCCCGATGTCAGCTGTGCATTCAAACTCTGCAAAGATGTTTCAAAGACCCTTACTCGCGGCCTTGCGGTGTCGTATTTACGTTTTTCTGCAAAGGATGCGTCCTTGTCGCTGCTTTCTCGATAGTTCACGCTGTCCTTACACATTGTGCAAATACTAGTCGTCCTTCAGAAAGGCAGGAAGAGACTTGCAGTGCTCTCATATGCGATGTCACGTTTCGCAGGAAGCAGCGTGTATCCTCTGCTATCAGAGAACTGGAACGTTCAAATGTTTGCTTTTGAAGATGGGATAAAGTCGATTGAGTGAGTTTGAAATGTCACGCGTGGATTAAAGAAGTCAGGAGGTCCTGAGGCCAGAGCCGCTGTTTGAAGCGAGTTAAATAAAAAGTGCCCTGACTATGTATTCTGCTCCAACAAAGAGACACAAAACGACGAGAGAGAGGGCGCAAAAACCTGTAAGACAAAATGCACATTGTCTCACATCGATTCCTTTTCACGCAGATACACGAAGATGAAGACGGCCACCAACATCTACATCTTCAACCTGGCCCTGGCCGACGCCCTGGTCACCAGCACGCTGCCGTTCCAGAGCGTCAACTACCTGATGGGGACGTGGCCGTTCGGCGACCTGCTGTGCAAGACGGTGATGTCCATCGACTACTACAACATGTTCACCTCCATCTTCACGCTCACCACCATGAGCATCGACCGCTACGTGGCCGTGTGCCACCCCGTCAAGGCGCTCGACTTCCGGACGCCCCGCAACGCCAAGATCGTCAACGTCTGCAACTGGATTCTGTCCTCGGCCATCGGGCTGCCGGTCATGTTCATGGCCTCCACCACTGTCACGCGTAAGCATGAACGCACACATCGCTCTGAATGAGACTAAAACATACCAAATATCCTTTCAGTCAGCCACAATAAACACTCTTCTGAAAGTAGAAATCCCTGATTTTGACGGCATGATGAGAATATTTCATCCTTCATTTGTCTTTGTGAAGAACTGAATAGAGAAATTGAAACCCTTCAATTTGCAGCAATATGTGAAAGAAGGTGTTGCTTTTTATTTCTTCATCCTGACACGGTTCAACAGCGACGCAGAAAGCATTAAAAAAAAACATTCAGGTCGTTCTATTTATTCATACAGCTTTAAAGAGCGGTTCGGCACTCGAGCAGGCTCCAGAAGAGGAGACGAGCCAGATAAGGGTTTTACTGTGTAATTGCACAAAGAATTATTTAATGCTATACGCCTGGCTGCTGACCAGTGTAACTGTTTGCAAAGACGGGCCTCTCTGATAAGGTGTCTGCGTATAAATGCAAGGAGGGATGAAAGGAGAAAGAGAGCGATGAGAGATTTGTGAGGCTGTGATGGTGCAGAGAGGTGCTGCTGCTGCTTTAGTTTTCAGCACAGAGTTTATGTTATCGCTGCACAGTTAGAGAGACTTTTATAAGGCAGGGCGAGGAGCTGCATAGACATCCGTCGTGCTGCTCGATAATGAAGTGATTAACGAGCTGTTGTGTCTGATGCATTAATCACTGTCAGAAGGAAACACACAGATAGCACATTTACACATAAAGATCTCAGGAGCGGCACAAAAAAACAAAACAAACATAAACATAATTTTGAAGAGCGCTTGAGATACGAGTGACCTTTTGTACACGAGTGCGGCTCTGTTTCTGCTCAGTGCATAAATATAGGCTCCTGTTTTATCAGCTTAGAACATGATAATATGCAAATGTGTAGACTGCAACGCCAAACCAGTTTTCACACATGAACCCTCTGAACTCCAAAAGGCGTGTTATCTTTAAAAACGAAATCACACCATTTATCGGAGCCAGGAGCTGTAAAAACAGAAAGAATTGTCAGATGTTTAACAGTCCTTGAAGTACTCATCAGTGATGGGATTTCTGTCAGGAAATTTAACCAAGTCTAAACTTAAAATCAAAGTTTCTTTATTCTACATAATTTATTTAAAAAATTGTTTTCTTGTGTAAAAATTTGTACGCTGTATACACCGTTTAATTCACACCTACAGACAATTTAGAATCACCAATGAACCTCGGCATGTTTTTGGACTGTGTGGGAGGAAGCTGGAGAACCTGGAGAGAACCTGCACTGCATGGGAAGAACATGGAGACTCCACGCAGAAAGATCCCGGGTGTCCTCACCGGGACACGAACTGGCGACCTTCCTACTGAGGCAATGATGCTAACCACTGCTCCACCTTGCAGCCCATAAGCCGCACCCACTAGCTTTAAAAAGAACAAAAAAAGTTGTACATATATAGGCCGCATTTGTCTATAAGCAGCAGGTGTCCACGTTGTAACATGAGATATTTACAGAGAAAGTTTTTTTAAACTTTTAATTAAATATGTTCTGGTAACATACACAAATACGTCAATGCTTTTTTCTGAACAGTGCCTGTAACACGGCTGGTTAAAAAACAAAAACTACAGCAGCCTACCAGGAAAAGTCATTGATCGCTATCTTCATCTTCCTCCTGCGCACTAAAACCACTAAAGTCATCTTCTTCAGTGTCGGAGTTGAACAACCTCAGAATTCCTTCGTCACACACTTCCTCAGTCTCTCTTTCGTTGTCGCTCTCAGTGTCACTTTTGTCTCGAGGCAAATTCATAAAAATAATAAAAAAATCATGAATTAGCAGCGTCATTGTTTAAGCTGCAGTGGTCAAAGCGTGTGAAAAAAGTAGCTGCTTATAGTCCACAAATTACGGTAACTGAAGAAGGACTCAGCTGCATTCAAGTCACAAAAATGTATGGACTTTTTGGATGAACTGCAGCTGTGTAGATAAGAAACGAGTATAAAAACTAATTAAAAATGTGAATGGTATAATATCTATATGCGTGCAGAGCCACCATATTTTTCTGTGGGCACTTGGGATAATATTACACACGTTGATACCAGTTTCTTTCACATTTTGTTAAATAAGATGAGAAATTCTACTTGTGTTTTTTCTTTGTTTTTGATTTATGGCATCATAACTCTGTTACACTGCAGACATTATTCTACCTCTAGCCGTGGCTGTTCTGTTCACATGGAGGTGCAGGACTTTATTTTGCAGTGAAAAATGAGTCCACAGTGAGTAAAAATGTGACGAGACCAGAGAGTGCTTGGAGTTTAAAGGGTTAATAATTCCAGATTTGCATATGTGAGGATCTGTCTGTATATATATCTGAGTCATTCAAGTGATTAATCAGTTAATTGAGGAAAAAGTAATTAAAAGAAGCCTTGTTCTTCTCACGCTTGCTGTTCAGCGTTGGATTTGGTTGCATTGTTAGGAACAAACAGATTTGAACATGTGCAGCCAAAGTGAAAACAGAGTGACTGAAAATAACAACTTGTGAAATTGCCTGCATGTGTGATGAACGTCTGTTTACCGGTGAACACACAGAACACGTCTCTTGCGTTTTGTTTCCTGCTCAGCCTCCAGCATCGTGGACTGCAAGCTGATCTTCCCCCACCCCTCCTGGTACTGGGACACCCTGCTGAAGATCTGCGTCTTCATCTTCGCCTTCATCATGCCCGTCCTCATCATCACCGTGTGCTACGGCCTCATGATCCTGAGACTCAAGAGCGTCCGCATGCTGTCGGGCTCCCAGGTCTGTTGACTTTTACGAATATGATGCAAAGTTTAAATACATGTAGCGCCCGTGGCTTTTAATTACATGCATATTGTTCCGTTTAAGTGCTTGTTTGTGCACATGGCTACATGGCCGACGCTTTGATATTTCAGAGTAATGAAGCACAATAGAAGACTGCCCAGAGCCTGCGTGTAAATAAAGTGCCCTCATTGCACTCAAGACAAAGCAATTAAGGAAAATCAACTTAAGCCTGAGGCCGTCGCAGTTTTAATTAACCCATTAATGCTCACCGGCTCAAACATGGGCAAGTAAAAAAAATCAGCCACTGTATATTCAATTTATTATTTAGATTGACAAACTGTACAGAGGACAAAGCCTCGCGAGTCGACCTGTTCGAACTAGTTAAAGAGAACAATATTCTGGGCACAACAAAACTACAATTTCTTACCTTTTTTGTCATCTATGACTCTGAAGAACAAAGTATTTTTCAGCTTTTAGTCATTTTTAGTGAAAAAAGAGGGGAAGCAGGACACAAAATGATCCAACCTGAATCATTTTATTCTCAGTATTTCAGAATATTTACCAAAATCCTGGCTGCAAAATGTGCACTTTGTGATGAAGATTCATTTCTAGTGGATATAAATCTAAGTTACTGTGTGATTTGATTCGTTCTTATTCTTCTTCAGCCACCACCGGACTTGTTTTCACTTCTGTCTTTCTACTTTCCTTTGTTTTTCCCTCCTTGTCCTCCTCCCTTAATGCATTCTCTAATTGAATTGCCTTTTTCCTCACCACCCAAACCTTCTCCACCTTCCATCATTTTTATTTTCTCATCTTATCACCCAACACTAAACCACCCGTCTCTCTCTCTCTCTCTCTCTACCACACATACATCCGCTCACACAGGAGAAGGACCGGAACCTGCGGCGGATCACCCGCATGGTTCTGGTGGTTGTCGCCGTCTTCATCGTCTGCTGGACTCCCATCCATATCTTTGTGATCATCACAGCTCTGATCAACATCCCCAGCTCCACGCTGCAAACCATCACCTGGCATTTCTGCATCGCTCTGGGCTACACCAACAGGTAGACAATCAGCAGAGGCAAATACAAATACAGTCATATTTGGTTGGTTTTTATTATTATTTCCTTATTATTTTAGCAAGAAAGACTCAGTTAAGTGTAGCTGAAAGGGTCTTATAAGAGAAGTTGTGTGAGTTAGAGACAGGATCAAGTGGTTTAATGGATTCAAGATGGTTTCTACATATTGCTGAGTATGAAGGTGATAAAAATGTTGGTGAGATTAGAAGTCAGCTGAGTTCTGGCTGCTCTCTTGTTAAAACTCTACCTTGTCTTTGCGCCCTGCAGCAGTCTGAACCCGGTTCTCTATGGCTACCTGGATGAGAACTTCAAGCGTTGTTTCCGTGAGTTCTGCACCCCGAGTCCGTCTGTGTTGGAGATGCAGAACTCGTCCAGGACCGGAGCCACCAGCCGCAAGCTGCCGCAGCGCGAACACAACAGCGCAAACACAGGAGAAAGATCCAACCAGCAGGTAGTTTGTGTTCATGTGTGCAGATGTTTCTGTTAGATGTTCTGTGTCATTCAATCTCTTCTAACAATTAGATGAGCCGATCAATGTGACGTCTGTATCGAAAAGCTTAGCTTAGCATCAGACTTGTAACCAGCAGAGACTGTCTGGAGGTCGCTGTGCCGGGTCAAGAAAAGTCGCCCCAAAAAGCTCTGCAGATGGCAGGACTGTGAGCACAATCTGAAGCCAGAGGTGTGGAGAGTAAACAGGACTGAACCCTGAGGTGGATTCTACTCAAAGCAAAGAAATGAATATCTGTCAAATACGTTTGTTTTTTTTTTAAAAGCTTGTCAAGACAAGCACTCTAGAGTAAATCTTCCACAGACTTACTTACATCTACTTACTAACAAAGATTACAACAGGGAGCAGCTCCTCTGGACCTCGTGAGGCCAAACAGTTGTAATTGCAACTTCAACTATAGTTGCATGTAGAACTAGGACAAGGTTAATTGCATTTAAAAAAAAGCGCAGTGTCCCAGTACTGTAACAGCTTTGTACAGAACTACGCTACGTGCAGTTCAATGCTAAGCTAAGCTAACCAGCTTTTTGCTGCAGGGTCATATTTATCCTATGGACATGAGAGTAGTGTGAATCTTCTTATCTAATTTGCAGCAAGAAAACAAGCATATGTCCCCAAATATCAAGCGTTTAATCTATTAATGTTGGATGTGTGGCTGTTAGGTTCTGTGCAGACGTTCATACAAGCGTACATTGCAGTACACCGTATACTAGCACTGGACAAATAACTGATTTTAAGTCAAAATCACAACTGGAAACAAGATACCGAGCAAATCGCAAAGTATGCAGTTTAGGATATACATTATGTATGGCTGTGTCTGAGCCAGAGTCTGAACTGATGCCTCAGTGGTTTCATGTTGAGCTGGACTCTTATGTGGTCATGCTCCATCATGTGTTCAGTTTATAACACAGTGGAAATAAAACTGAGGCTTAACTTGATATGATATAATAAATCAAATATCTGTCAGAAAAAACCCCTCTGTACACATGAACCCTCCTCGTCCTCTCTCTGCAGGTATGACTAGCCTTGGAGAGGTCGTCGGTGGACTCTCGCTGTTGCGGCGGCGTCGCCAACGACGATCTCAACTCGGAGGTCACGCAGGTCACCACGGGGCTCTGACCACACTCTCAAACTGCACGTACACACCACCGACCCGTGACACGACTCGATAGCACGGATCGTTTAAGCGCCGCGTTGGAGGGTTAACTGTAGTGCTTCATCATGTCGGGCCATTAACCTGCCAACTAGTGTAACTAACTGTGCTAAGTGGCTGCGCAAAGCTTTTACTCTCACTGAAACAGACACAGAACTGGGACTGGTCAGAAGAAACAGAAAACCGACTACACGGCCTCCAAATTGAAGTAATTGCACTAAATTGTAGTTTAAAAAACGATAATATAGTTTTAATTAGTAATGTTATTAGTACAATGCAGACAGATGTATAAAAGCCGCTGCTCACCTCACCTGTGCTCACTTTTCATTTCAGTAAAGACAGATGAGAGCAGCCTACACATGAGGAACACTCAGTAAAAACAGACGGCGAACACGCGTGTTAAAGGATGTGTTGACTTAACATTACATAACCGACACCTTTCCATACATCTGAATATGTCACAGGCCTGAAACACAAATTTACCATCTTAGCAATTGCAATTTGTTTAAGGAGCAAGTGGAGGCTAAATGTTGACAGTGTAATAATCGCAGGAAGCCAGTGTGGGCTATAATTACATCACGTCGATACGTTAGCAGAACGTTAGGTAAAGGGGGGTATTTTCTTTCGCTCTATCTGCCTCGATCTTGTTCTGAACGAGGGTAAACAAAGCTAAGTATGGATTAAATTTGTACTGAAATGTAATCAAACCTTCTGCTATTAATGGCTGTTATCAAATGCAAACACAGAATAGATGCACACACAGGTGAGGTAAAGCAGCATCATCGATCCAAACCTTCTGTCCTCGCCACGAGCTAATTCTTTACGTCGTTAAAAACCGATCAATTAATTGTCTTAGTAGATTTTATACGACTTTGCGTCAGTCTGTCATCTCCCTCCGGATGTGATCTTTTCAAATTGTTTGCCGTTGTGTGAGCGCCGTGTGGGGAATGTACATTTACGGGGGTAAAAAGGATCGAAGCCAATTTTTGCTCACGGAGCGTGAAAAGGATCCGTGGCTGTTTCTCCACATGAAGACATCACTGGACACGAGGTGTTGTTCAAAGTCATTTAGAGATCCAACCGTGCTTCTCATCCTGCTTCTGTCTGAACTCGGCAGGGCTTCACCCCATCGCTCCTCACACTCCATTAACACCTTTTGACCGATCTGCACAGCTCTGAGGAGGCTTTGGCCACTTCAGGAAGACAGACTGCGATGCTGTACAACTTTGCTCTCTCTTCTGAACCCATCCTCCCCCCGTAAAGATTTTAACATAAAGTAGACTTATAGCAGAGCGCCGTTCGCTCTCTCATCTCTCTGCAAAACCTGACAAAACTGCTGAATGTAGGGAAACCATGTGTTTATCGCAAACCAGCAAAGAAGATGCATCAGCCTTGTTTGCACAGCGCAGTGTGTGCTATTGTGGCATATAGTGCAAACATACAGCTCCGCTCGTGTTTGAATAACCGCAGCTAAACAGCCATTACACAAGGTTTGGGTCTGAATGGAGTCTTTTCTCCTCTCAAGGTTTTAACAAGTGAGCCAAGCAGGATTGTACATCTCTTGTAACCTTCGAATCGCTTGTGCTTACGTGTTGTGCCGTATCGCTAAATTCGCCTTAAAGAAAAAAACAAAAAAACAGCCTTTTAAAGTGGCTCTATTCTGTGTACCAGTATTTTTTCTAAGGATCTGTAAAGATGAACATGATTGTATTAATCTCTTGTGTAAAATACTGTAATTACTCTGTCGCTTTTTTAAAATATATATAAATGTGAAATCATGAAGATCATCTTGCTCCTTAATGTACATTTTGTCATCTTGAATCTGAAAACAATGCGTGTAAAGTATTGTGAATTTGAAAATTGACACTGAATTTAACTCTGAAGACTGTTTTGCTTTATTTTATTTCACTAAAAAAAAAAAAGAAAAGATGCTCAGTGCATACAACATGTTGATATCATTGCTTTCAGTTAATTGTAAAAGAACATGCTGCACATTATCGTCTTTTTCAGGCTTCTTAAACCACCAGGTTCAACGTAAAAAGCTTCTAAGATCACAGCTGAATTTGCTTCACGGTGCACGAGCTGCCACGTGCTGCATTTTTTGTTTTGTTAGTTTGTTTGTCGGGAAAAAACATCTTGTGAAAAACAAATTGTCAAGCAGCCAAATGTCACCTTTCATGCTGTGGAATGTATTTCAAGCCAAGAATGAAGAGAAGGAAGAAAACAATGTTATCTAACAACAGGAAGGTGTTGGATTGGGATCTGGCCTAGTTTCCACCCACAGTCTTTAAAAGAATTGGACATTTTTTAAAGTGCCCAAAGCTGTGAGTGTGGATGTGTCGTTTGTCCACACGTGTTAGCCTTGTCACGGATTGATGAGCTCTTTTGGGGGTTTCTTTCTGCACTCTGACGTCTGGAGGTGTCACCGTGCGAAGAAAACAGCTAGAACTAGTCGAGCTCCTTCTTCAGATTCCTCCACGTGCAGAGGCCATGTGCACACTGTGATTCTCTGTGTTTGAAGTCTTTTGTTTTCAAGCCTTTGCGAAACACAATAGCGAAAGTCAGAAGAATGCATTGTTATGTGTGGCCACCTTCAGTGCCTATAAGAAGTGCTCACCCCTCCAGGAGGTTTGTCCCTTTTATTGCTTTTCAACGCTGAGTCGTGTCAGTACCAAAACAAAAAAAGACTCTTATGTTAAAGTGGATATAGATTTCTACAAAGTAATGTCATGCAACCACTTATCTTAAAGTTTACATTTAAATTGATTAAGTAGTCACCCTTTTTTTTTTAATTAATAAAAATAAAAACTCACCTAATTCAACACAGGTCAAACTAATTGGTTCTAGAAGTAACACGGTTTGTGAAATAAGGATCATCTGAGTGCAGTCAATGTGTCTCCAGTGATTGTAGTATGAAGACACCTGCATCTGGAAGGCCCAGTCACTGGTGAATCAGCACTCTTTGCTATAACTACACCATGAAGACAGAAGAACGCTCCGAGGAACTTCATGAAAGGATTATTTAAAAGCCTAAGTCAGGGGATGGATACAAGAAACTAGCTGAATGTCCCTTTGAGGACAGTATCCTCGTAGTTTAATCATAGCAACTGGACTTGCTTGAGTTTCTTTCACCTCTCATCCAAGAGGCTTCATCACATGTCGTCTTCAAGAAACTCAACCGAGTCCAGCTGCTACGATTAAACTATGAAGATAACCATGACCTGGATGACTGAGAATCTTCAAAGACAGTAAAATGCATCATTAAGAAATGGAAAACATGCATAAATCTACCTAGAGCAGGCCGTCCTTAATGAACTGAGTAACCATGCAATAATGAGACTCTGGAGGGAGGCCACCAAGACACCCATGACTCCTCCGAAGGAGTTACAAGCTCGTATTTACCACCCCGTTGTCCCCTGACATGCTTGTAATCATGTTTTTTCACAGAGTTGCTTGGAGTGTCCGTTTGTCTTCATGGTGTAGTTACAACCAGGAGTACTGACTCACCTTCCAGATGCAGATGTCTTCATACTACAATCACTGGAGGCACTGATGATCTCCACTTCACTAATTGTGTGACTTCTTGTGGGTGTGATCGGATATGGGGCGGCAGAAACTACAGCAAACAAGACAGCACTGCATTTGCCGCCCACACCTGTTAGTCCTCATCTTGAAGGTCTTTTCTAATCTGCTTGGAAAAGGCAAACAGTAAGAAATAGCAGTATGATCCCAGAATACAAATAAGGCTTGTGGCTAATTAGTCCTGGAACAATGTGGTTTCCTCCATGTTTATCATGGATCATCAGCTGATGAGGGCTTTGTTTTGTTTTTTCCCCTGTGAGCCTTGTAGCTTTAGCTTCAGTGTTTGAACACAAAAAAAATATACGTGCAGGAGCAGAGTTGATGTTTAAGACCCCATTTACAAGATTTGTGTTTGAAAAAAGGAATCAGGCGGGGAAAAAAGGTCCCCCAGTTAAAGGTCTTCAACCAGCCAATGAAAGTAGCATTAGCTTTATTTGCTAGCCAGCCACAGCTAATTAAATCTGTCTGTGATTTTAGCTTTCAAAGTTGAGATTCATTGCCTGTTATTTTGTCTAAATGGGTGTTAAATGAAGCGCCGTGAGATTCTGTGTAGTTAATGTGTCACCTTTACTTTCTAGCTTGACACGCATAGCGACAGTAACTAAGGGGGCGGGGCTTAGCAGATTATGGTAATGATGCTGCGATTTTACATATTTATAATGAGATAAGAAAATCGATATAATATACGTCCCGAGGCACAAAAAGTGATGTTTGGCAGCACACGTTTTGCAGCACTTGAGGAATGACTGACTCTGAAATGAATTAAACGCCGTCCATGATCTCTGCACATTCTGCCATTTACCTGTCTTTTCTATTATCTGCTTGTTTACATGACTCATGGCTCAGACGTGACTGACTCTGCCAACTCTTGAAGTGAATTTTCTTGTAATTTAATGTATAGACGACAATTTTCCGATTCACTCTGCGACACTCTGTAACGCAGTAAATATGATATTACAGTTAATCAGTGCATTGCCTATGGAATAAAATGTAATTCTGAATCTCACTGGGTGCCTTCTTTCTTGCATCTGAACAAAGTCTCATCCGCACTGTGTTTCTTTAAATAATGTTGGTTTTCCATCCCTCATTTCCCTAAAACCCAACAGCAGCTTTTTCTTCTCTCAACACATAAAAGTGAATGATGAGGAAACATGGATTGTGTTTCCAAAATATATTTTGTTGTGCGGAGCAGGCATAACTCATATTCAGCAGCTGGTAGCATGAGGCTGGAGCTTTTTTTTCCCCTCCCATCACTCACTTTTACTACCTGCAACTATAATTTATC